AATATCCTAGGAATATCGCCCCCCTTTTGAGAGGGGGCGAATCTCCTGGGGGGGGGGGAATCTCCTGTGACACCGGAATCCTAGATTGGATGTTTGTGAATAAGCCCAAGATGTTTGACTTAACTCGGTTACCCAAAATTGGAAGCTCAGTCCATGATACGATATTAGCAAAGCCAAAACCTAAATCTGAGACCAAACCGGTAATTAAGAAGATAAAGATACGTGACCCTCGAGACAATGCTTGGCGTACATTTGGAAGGTGGATCGTAGAGAAGGACTGGAGCTCTGTATTAAACGCTCCCTCCTGTGAAAATAAATATGATGCTTTAATTCATGTGTGAACTTAACTCTGCCATTGATACTTTTCTCCCACACCAGACTATTAAGAAACACCCCACTGACCGACCATGGATGACAAGGAAAATTAAAAATTGTATCTATAAACACAAATTGCGTTTATTCGACACGGGAAAGATTCGCTAAGTTTTAAGTTTTGGAGAAATAAGTACAATGTGAAATAAAAATGGCCAAACATCACTATTATAACAATCGAGTCTCAAAGCTGAAAAACACAAGTTCCAACAAATGGTGAAGAGAAATAAAACGACTTTCTGGTCAGGATGTAAAACAGCAGTGGCATCATCAATTCCTCGAAGAGTATATGGACGTCAAATCCCTTGCAAACAGTATAAATGACATCTTCGTTGACCTTACAAACGGCTTCGAACCACTCACGCCTAGCGGTCCAGAGGATTTACCAGTAACAACAACATGAAGTCTATCATGCATTATCCTCAATAAATATCAGCGCAAGCTAGGCTGTTGGGCCAGACAATATCCCAAATAAGTTGTTGAAAGATTTCGCCTTTGAGCTTGCACGGTTATACAAGATCAATCTACAACCAGTCTCTGAAGACGGAAATATCCCATTGCCTCTAAAGTCTTCCATTGTCAACCCTATCCCCAAAGTGACCCCACCGAAGAAGATGGACAGCGACTTAAGACCTATCTCGCTTACTTGCACTTTGGCTAAAATTATGGAAGGTTTCACCATCACAAAATTACTTCCAGAATTGGATAACAAAATTGATGTACGACAATACGCACGGAAGGGACACTCAACAACTGATGCCCGGCTATATTTACTACAAGCCATATTTGAGGCAATTGATCGTGGAAATACAGCTGCCCGTGTTTTTTTTGCGGACTTCTCTAAAGGATTTGATTTGATTGATCATAACATTATACTACGTGAGTTGGAAAAGTTGAGTGTTTCGATCCCCTGTGCTCATTAGATGGATCGCGGCATTTTTAACTAATCGACAACAAGCTGTAAAAATTGAAGATACTACGTCTGAATGGAGAACAGTTAAGGGAGGAATTCCACAAGGAACGAAGCTAGGAGTCATTTCATTTGTAGTAATGACAAACGGACTAACGCAGATTGGCCTTTAAGAATCAAGTTGTTGACGATACCTCGGCTTTAGCCTTATCTTACCAAGAAATTCCATCAGCTTACTTAACTATGTGGTAATGGACATCAGGACATGATCCATGAATTTGCTAATAGTCATAATATGAAACTTAACCCAGGGAAATGTAAGGAGATGTTCATTAATTTTATGCATGATTATAACATTCTTGTGAACCCAGTCATCATGGGGAACAATGAAATAGAATGTGTGTCAAATTACAAACTTCTGGGAGTCTATATTTAAATGAAGACCTAAATTGCAATACCCACATAGATTACATATTCAAAAAGGCTTGTAAAAGACTCTATTCGTTGCGAATTTTGCGAAGAGCTGGCGTTGCGTCATTGAGTATCTTAAAGGTTTATCTAACTATTATTCGACCGGTCCTGGAGTATGCTGTGCCTGTATCAGTGCCTTTTTTAACTATATATCTGGGGGGGGGGGCAATTGCCCCCCAGGGAAAGAATTTGCCCCGCCAGTAAAGTCATTTCTGCCCCCGAAGTGCGAAGCAGAATTGCTCATGATTGCTGTCAGAATTGCAGTTGATTTACTTGATAATGAGATTATGCCCTTCCATAGCCTCCTCCACAGCCATCTTGTGTGTAATTCATATTGTTCTTCACCGAGTATTTCATAATAGCGATAGATTTCATGCAAACAATCCGATAAAATGCTAGCCTTTCCAAGCCTTGCGACTATTTCCTAGCACTCTCCTCCGCAGAAGCGTTGTGTTTTGTTTTGGGAGGTTTTATTGCAAAATTGTTTTCTTAAAAATATCAAGTTATATTAAGATCCTTCCCCCAATCGCCACAAAAACCATTCTCTCAGAAAGTACACGTTACATGCTCGAAGCTGAAACTGATTAAGTTTGTCTCGACTGAGGAAAAAGACGATATACTGGAGGAACTTGATTTGTGAAATATCGTTAAAGCAGTTGTAGATATGGTTCCAAGAAGAATAGATTTAGTTTAGATTTTCAACTGTTAAATACATGTATGCATCATCATAGCATGAATATTTCTTCTCAGACTTATTCTGTATCGTATGAAAAAGCAACGCAATTTTGAGAATGCGGAAATGGTGTCTCATAGAACCTAAAATGATTTAAATGCAACATTTCTGATCAAAATCACATTGGGATTTTCTCCCCCCCCCCCAGCATCACAGAGAGGAAATAAGGTGACACTGACCCCTCCTCCTATTTTTCAAGGTGACTTTTCCAATTTATTTAATTCCGAGTAGAAATGTCTGGAAAAATTCATGTCTTCGATGTACTTTATAATCTTCGGAATTCTGCTAGATTTCACCCCCAAAATGCATGAAACCGCAATTCAGGGGCCCAAGATTTCAAAATTTTCCGGACCCTCCTAGACGGTCGGTTATACGCCACTGGTTATAGCTGTACCACTATAGCTACAAAGAGTTGAAGTTATTGTTTAAAGTAAAATATAGCTGAAGTTAATAAATTAAAGTTTTACAAAATCTCTCTTCAGACTCGCGCGTTCGCCAAACCTCGACGGCTCATATTTTTCGTTCTGCCTTTTTTCCTGTTTTGCCCCCCCAGTGAAAATTCCTTAAAAAAGCACTGATCGTGAACATTTACCAAAAATCCCAGAAGTTTTAATATAATGCAATACTTGATATTGAAAGCTGGGTGAGATAATCCGCGTACTTTCATATTACGCTCTGGTACCACGTATGTACGAGTTGTGTGCTTGATTCACACTGTATTGTCTATGCACAGACACAGTAGTGAGAGTACAACTCAACTCAAGTTGTAAGCAGGTTGCATGCGACGGTTTTAGGCGGCAAAAGTTGTGAAGTGTAAATCGGCCTTTAGACAAATTTCGGCATCGATTGGAACATTTTTATTCGTTGCATGCATTAGTAAGGCTTTCTTTTTTTACTTTTTTCATAAAGGTGGTGTAATAAATTGAACTATACTCGAATAATTGAACTCAACTCGTTTTTAAATCAAAAATAAACTTTTAAAAATTATATATCACTTCTTAACTCGCTCTACTCAGAACTTCCACACAAGACATTAATATTCCATGTGCTCGCAGAATTGCGTGACACACGCGTGGTGTCCACGTAATAATTACGTCATTAATTATAACAGGTGGAAACCTTGTAAACGTTTCTGGAAGGAATTACAGATTCGAATTTGAGCTAAACTGCTTGGAAACAGTTCTCAATTTCAATTCATGTGAATAACGCACTGCGATTTTCCAAGTCACTTCTTACTCCACCCCGTTCTGCCCCCGCACTGTTTGGACAACAGCCCCCTCCATGGCTCCGGCGCCCCTGAGTTTATGAGAGTTGGCAGTCATTCATTTTTACGGGGGACACTTCAAGCTCAGGATTAACAAAATAAAGTTTTGATGAGTGTGCCAACTTTGTTCTAACTTAGATAGAATACATGATAGTATTGGAAAAGCATTAAGAACAGTGAACCAAGGTCATGTGACTGTCAACTCTCATGCACTCCCATCCTCGTTTGATTCAGTCTGTAAAGTACACTATATATTCACTCACATATCCTAACTGATAATTGACAAAAAATAAAACTCCAATTTCGACATTATGAAATTTTGCAAAAATAAATATTTCATTGAAAACTTGCAATTGTCCAGCATTTTAGCCGAAGACACCCAACCTCCCCCGTGACGCCAGAGTGTGAGAGAATTAAAACACCCTGGGCTGAGATTCCCTAACTATATGATGATAAGCAAGAGTAGAGGAAAAAGAAAAAGGAATTTCTGCAAAGAAGAGCGAGGAGAAGATTGGTCCACCCAGACGGAAAAATACTAAACAATTTTTTCCAATTCAAGGACATTTCTACTGATTTAATTCCAGCCTACCTTCCTCTATGGCCATCTCAATGGGTGTTTGCTGTGTCTAGTCCTAGTCCCTCATTTGCTCCAAATAGAACTCACAGAGTAGACTCCCTGCCTATTTGCACATGACAAATAGAGAATAATACATGGGTGCGCGGAAATACCAGATTTATTTCGAGTGTTGAACATGACATCTCACGAGTCATGCAGCGCAGCGAACGAGTGAGATATCATGTTCAACACAAGAATCAAATTCTTTGCCATCAACTCTCTTTAGAACCACTTTTTGCCACCTTGGCCGGCCGACTATAAATCACTTTATTTATCAAATCATGTATATGTCATGCGGCTGACTCGTGCCCAGTCGTCTCTAAAGGTCTTGGAAATAGAGCTCGAGAAATTGACCAATCACATGCATTAAATCTATAATTGACCAATTATTTTTAGTTAAAGGAGCTCAAAATTGGCACCGAAATAACAACTGTTACCACCAATTAGCCTTTCTCACGAAAGTAAAAAATCCGCCATTTTGGGGAGTACTGTTCCTCCTTCGCAAACGTCAATGTGCTCGCCTCATAGTCTCTGAGAACGGCTTTGTCCTTTTCTTTCAATCATTTGTTAATATGTTATTGATTGTAAAGCTAATATATATTATAATTAGCGCATTTTCTTCATTTTTGAGCGTTAATAGCCCAAAGTCGAAAAACATACTATCTACTCACTTAAATGTCTTATATATACTTTTTGCGCACTTTCTAATGGTATAGTTTATTTTTGTTTAAAGTGAACTTGAAATATTGCATTATGTCATCATAGTACTTTCATAGGCAAAATTTTGAAATACTCAAATTTTCATCTATACAAAACAAAATCAGAGTTGCCAACATATACCTATAGTCTTCTTCATTACTGTGAAAATGTCAGTTACGGTCGTAACAAAAAATGCCATCATATCAAACTGTTGCACCTTTTCAGGTTTTAGCCGGCCATCTAAATCGCAAATAATGAAAGCACGGCAAATAATGATGGCAAATAATGAAAGCACCTGCATAGGTACAAAAATTATACAGAATTACTGCTTCTGACCGAGTTTTAAAAAAAAGAATGAGTCCTAAGAAACGCTAGATCAGAGTTGTCAGCGGAGGAGGCTTGAAGGAATCGAAAATTATTTCGATGTGATTTACAGCTCTCGTGACGAGAAATACAGCCTCAGAAAACAAACATTCTGTTTTCTCAGGACACTTGATCGAATTAGAAATAGGACAGATAATTTGTAGGCATGTACAAACTTATATACAGCTAGAACTCGGCATAAAAGAACCAGTGGATTAAGAACCATCGACCTGAAATTCAAGCAATTAATATAAGCATTTAAAAAATTAGCAGGATGACAAATGCATCAGTCCGGTTGTTAAAAGATCTTACGAAAATATTCTGTTTTTGATAATCAATGACAAGGCGTATTACAACATATATACTGGGGGGGGGGGGAACATTTGGTCCCACTAGTAAGTGAATCAGACTGAGCCCAACCTTAATCTCATGGGTGACCCAAATATACTCTATACAGGGAAGCCCCATGCACTGTATAACAAGCACTGCTCAATGAAGATTGGAAACCTTTCAAGCAGCAACTGTTGGTGTCTGCTGTTGGAGGTTTGGGCTTCGCACGAATCTGACCGGGAAATGTGGAATAAATTAGGCGGTCCATTTTCGCTAGATGTTGGACTGAGAAACCTGCGCCAGATCTTCCCATTATATAGAGACAGAAATTCTGGTCTGACAGGTCTAGCCATTAAATGGAAAGTATACCCAGTATATATAAGAACAACTTCAACTGGCAAACAATTAAAGTGGTTCTTTTATGCGATCTTTTATTGTCTAGCACTATTAAAGTGGACGCAGTAAGGACGACAAAATATATTTGAAGTTTTTACTTTTTACAAACAATTATGATTTAATTTATTGTACTTCGATAAAAAGCACTTAACAAGTTAATGTATTGTATATACGATTAAAACTACATCAAAAAGTTCAAACTGTCATTTCAAAACAACTATCTCTATTATATATTTTTGCTTCTATTCTCTACAAAGCAAATACTATTGATAAGATTACATGCATTCAAACATCTCTCGTGTAAATTACTTTAAAGATATCAATATATACCTATAGCTGTATTTAAATTCGCGTCATAGCATCAGAATACACCCTTCCGCGAGAAGTACGTCACTATGGCTATAGAGCCCAGTGAGCTCTATATATATCTGGAGTAAGAACTTCAATCATTCGGTCAATGAGAAAAGTGAAGCCAAGATGGCGGCCATTGACATCCAATAGCTCTGAAAGTCGTAAACAGTTTTTATACCATTTTCCCAAGCTAATTCCAGTTTTTTCTAATGGACCGTATCATTAATCAAGTTTTCAGTTCATAAAATCACAATATTATTCTTTAAATCGAAGTTAAAATACGAAATTTCAACACACTCCTTGCCAAGATGGCGGAAATTGAAGGAGCGCTCTGTTGGACGTCAGTTCCAGTCCCTTTCTGTTGTTTTTGTATGCGCGGTTAACACGAAACTGGCTTCACTTTGAGCAACCAAGTTCCCACTCCAGATATATATGGAGCTCACTGATAGAGCCTCGTTTTCGTGATTGAGACGCTTGGATTGAACTAAAGTCACATGCATAAAAAGCCAAAATGTCGTACTTTACAGAAGGATCGAAGTTGAAAAATAGGTTTGCCATCTAACACGCACAAATAATAATCTGTGTCAGTAAATGATTGCCGCAGAAACACAAAATGCAAACCGTTAGAAATTATTCTGTACGATCGACGTTATGTAAAACAGATATTTGCATGGTATTAGCGAGTTTTGTTAAAATGTCTTGGTTAGTTTTCTCTTGCTGCTTGGCTTATTTTTTCTGATTTTTCGATATGTCTGGAGACAATTGTATAAAACTCTTAACTTGTTTACAACTACTGTTTTGATTGATAAACTTTCGCACTAAATGCAACTAAATGCAGTAAACTTTAACTACCTTTTTATACAACCGACTCCAGGTTTCTCGAAAATCAGTAACAATTGTACTTTCGTAAAAAATTGAGGTTCCCAGTCATTTTAGCACGGACTGAAAACTATCATTCACGTGTTCTTTTTCTCGGTCAAGCGCGCAGATTAAGTTAAATCTGCGCTAAAATATCACATTTCGCTTTTTTCGGGGGTACGAAATTAAATCGCACGAATTTAAGACTGAGCGAAAATTAGAACCACGCAAATTTAAATACAAGCAAAGTATATACTGTCAATTTAAAATATCTATTTCTGCATTTTTCTCCTAAGACTAGATTTCTAATGCAAAGTATACTATATACATACATTCAGCAAGGGATGTCGCGAAACTGGGTTATGTGTTACCGCAAATCCTCTATTAAGACCCCCCCCCCCCACCTAAAAAAAGGTTTCCTCCAATAATCAATCTCTAATAGGACATATATAAATACATCAATTAGTAGTTCCTTCTCCAATACAAGCACCCTCCGCCCTCCACTTCATATATAAACACATGTTCACCGAATAGATTTAGACATATTATCCTGGACGTTTATGTTAGATTTTAGGTTACCACGTTTAGATATCTTAATCATGATCATAAGTCCCCGCTTTCTATTATACCTCCCTCTCCAATAAACATCCCCTCAAATGTGCCATAAATAAATTGGGGCTTAATAGAGGATTTACTTCACGAACGCAGTCATGTAGTGTAACACACATAAATTTTCATTGACAATTATATTATTGACATTGCAATTACGTTCCAGAGGCTTGGTTCATACTTCGGATTCAAAATTCAGACAAATTTGCTATTAAATTCATTGAGCAAAGCTCTATTCATTCCAAACGTGAAAGTAATATTGTATAACATGCCTTGTTAGACATAGGTTTCATAATACTCTTAAACAGAATCAAACATAAAGAAATAACATATTTGTTTCGACTGGGCGACCAGTATGTCGTATGAAACGGAAATGCACAATAGACATTTTTTTCCATCTGACTGACAGATGAATGAAACGTCTTGTACGAATTTAAATACAGACACTAGTATGAAACAGACCTCAGTCGTGGAAATGGTCTAGCGGTGGCTGATTGTGGGACCCAAAGGATTTTTTTGTAATTTTCGAAACTCTAACACTGTATTTTTAGTTTTTTCTGAAACGAAATTGTAAATGATTGAATTGCGTTTCTTTCAAATATTTTTTAAACAAGTTATCATTCCAAACACCGCATGTATTTTTATTCAAATTTCATGTAAAATTTTAAAATAAACATCCATCTAAGTGTTACATCCCCTAATTCGTGACGTCCCTGCTTATAGCAAAAATTATGCTACTAAATTTACCAATGCATACACTATTTTACAACTTCAGTCAATGCATGCCGCTGATCTCAAAACTAGACCTGGATAAAGCACCACATGCATAAATGAAGCCAACGACGGCCATATTGGTGTAACCATAGCAAATCTACAGTGGTGTTGCTGACATGCTAGAAGACGTTCTTAAAGTTTCTGATGATTGATAAAAATAAAAAAAATATTGCCTAGAAAGAAATTGATTATTAGTGGCCTCTGACGGTTCCTTCTGAAATTTGCCTGTGAATAATGGTGAGGTCACACGACAATATGGCCGCCTCAAGTCTCAATGTCTCATTATCACGTGTTTAAAACCATCTAAACAAACTCATTAGAAGAAGTGTGGCAATATCTTTCAAGTTACGTAGAAGATATTTGCTTGGTACTAGCTATAACTAATTTAAACACGTAACGATTTGATTCGTAGGGAATGTGACAGATTTAAAAATATTTTCTCATTATAAATATTCTAGCTTCAAAATGAATTCTCTGAATTCAAAAAGTTGCTCTATCCAGTCTAGTTTTAAGATCAGTGGTCAATACCTTCATTAGTATTCAGAATTTAACTAAAGCAGTGGGTTTGTTAACTACGTGGGATCACCATGGGGTGAGAGCTCAGTATAGGGTCAAGTTCTCAACTCCAGGCTTATGTGATTGAAGTTTAAAGTGGTTATCACCCATAAGTCAATCATTTCAGAATCAATATCAGGTAAATAGACTAATATTTAGATATCTCTTAACGCGAATGAGAAATTCCTGAGTTAAAGGGTTTTATAACTTCAATGATGTAACAGGAGGAATTTCTATGTACTCGTTGTAGCTGTAAAACACTGGACCAACTTTATTTTCCGCCACTTGAAAACTGAATTATACACCATAATTATATCCCTCATGGATAATTTTCCTGATAACTTTAAATAAAATCGCTCAATTGCAAATCAACAAATATTTTATCATGTGACTAACATATGATATGCAATCAATACGGAATATAATCCATTTTGGGTGATAGCCACTTTACGAAAGCCAGTCTGAACAATATGTTAGAGTTATAAACCGAGTAGGAGGTTTATAACTGATATATTGCCCCCGAGGACGCGTAGCGTCCGAGGGCAATATATCAGTTATAAACCGACATTCGAGGTTTATAACTAACTTATATCACATTTGTGGAGGTTTTCTAACATATTTTGTCATTTTCAAAAAATTTTAATAAAAAATTGTCTACAAGTTTAATCTAATCATTGTGTATTGTTTTGTCTACAAGTTTAATCTAATCATTTTATTCAAGGTATATATAAGCTAGTTATAAACCTCGGACGATCAAAGAAAACCGACACAAATGTGATATAAGAATCTTTATATTCTACTTCTCTGCTACGTGACTCAATTCTTTAGAAGTTGTAATCTTAAGCTCCGAACCTTTCAGTATCCCATTCTCTGATATACAACCTAGTGAGTTTACAATTTTTACTTCTTAAAGCATCAACTAAATATTTAAGACTTTGTTCTGTTATTTAATTTTCAGTGAGGTTCAAACAAATAATTTTTAACGATTTTTTAAATTATATAATTTACAATTTGTACACAATATATTCAACACCTTGATCTGTTATTTCATTACAATCGAAATCCAATTTAGTAAGTTTACAATTTTCACTTTCTAAAGCTTCATTAAGATATTCAGCACCTTCATCTGTTATTTCATTACCAGCGAGATCCAATTCAGTAAGTTTACAATTTTCACTTTTTAAAGCTTCATTAAGTAATTCAACACCTTGATCTGTTATTTCATCACCGCCGAGATCCAATTTAGTAAGTTTACAATTTTCACTTTTTAAAGCTTCGCTAAGATATTTAACACCTTGATCTGTTATTTTGTTACCACCGAGATACAATTCAGTAAGTTTACAGTTTTTACTTTTTAAAGCTTCACTAAGATATTCAACACCTTGATCTGTTATTTGATTGTAACCGAGATCCAATTTAGTAAGTTTACAATTTTCACTTTTTAAAGCTTCACTAAGATATCCAACACCTTGATCTGTTATTTTATTGTAACCGAGATCCAATTTAGTAAGTTTACAATTTTCACTTTTTAAACCTTCCCTGAGATATTCAACAACTTGATCTGTTATTTCATTTCTACGGAGATTCAATTCAGTAAGTTTACAATTTTCACTTTTTAAAGCTTCACTAAGATATTCAACACCTTGATCTGTTATTTCACTATCTTCAAGATACAATTCAGTAAGATTACAATTTTCACTTTTTAAAGCTTCACTAAGATATTCAACACCTTGATCTGTTATTTCATTTCTACGGAGATTCAATTCAGTAAGTTTACAATTTTCACTTTTTAAAGCTTTACTAAGATATTTAACACGTTGATGTGTTATTTCATTACTATCGAGATACAATTCAGTAAGTTTACAATTTACACTTTTTAAAGCTTCACTAAGATATTCAACACCTTGATCTGTTATTTCATTTCTACGGAGATACAATTTAGTAAGTTTACAATTTTCACTTTTTAACGCTTCACTAAGATACTCAACAGCTACATCTGATAAACGTCCCAGAATCCACGTAAAAGAGGTAATAGTGTTACCTGCAGTGATAAAAAACGACTTAAAATGGTAGTTGCAGTTGTCCTGTATTGTGCATTGAAAAAAATAAAGTTGTTTTAAATTCTTGCTACTACCCAAAAACATGAACAATGCTGTAGAATCAACTGCTGTAATAATTAGGCCTTCTAAATACAGCATTCCATCTCCCTCTGGCACAAATTTACTGGAAACTGATTTCATGATATCAATATCTTGCAATTCATACAAACACTTTATGGCAAGTAAAGCAATTTCATTTGTCTCTTTATTTCCCAATAAAAAAGCCCATTCCTCAAGTCTAAACAGATGAAAGAAGTCATATTAATGTGCGTACAATTTTAATTTGTGTGCATTTTATTTATAATTTAAGTTCATGAGAAAGAACTATATTATTTTTTTAAACTTGGCGACGTTAAAAAAAGATAATAGGGAATTTAACCATGCATGGAAAGGATTCTTGAAGCAAACGCTTATTAAAGGCTCAGTGTCGCCTGTTGTGCGATGTTATTTAATTGCTAAAATTAACTGTTGAGCGCGCACATGGTCCAGTTTGAAAAGTTTCTGTAGAAAACCAAATAAAATCAAGTAAATTTTAGCAATTAAATAACATCGCTCAACAGGTGACACTGAGCCTTTAACAACTACAAGAAAAGATTTCGAAAAGATCGGTGACTTAAAATACCATTTATTTTTAATATAAATTAATTTGTATTGTATATCTACTTAAAAATGCATTACTTAAACCATGGATAATAAAATACATGGATAGGAAACTAGCTGACGTGACCTAATGTTTTCAATGGGATGATGGCGTTGAAACCTAGTTGCAAATCAAATTCTCAAAAACGGCATGTTTAGCGATAATACAGCTAAACATTTTAGTCAAAGGGCAAATAAATATAACTAGGCCATTCTACGATGAAGTCTCTAAGTATTCTCGGTTAATTTACGGCAAATATTTAAAGCACTAAACAGTGAAAAATGCATCGCAAATTTCGTTAAAATTGGCGACGCCAATTTCGTAGCTACAAATGTAGAAAAATACAAATAACAAAGACGAAAAACATTTACCTTGAATACTTTGTCGTGGCTTAGGCATGTTTTTAAAACAATTACACCAGTTTATGCTTCAATATTACTCTTTTAAAGCGGAAAATATAGCGAAACAACAAAAATGCCGAGAACTTTGGTATATATTCACAATACGCGTGACGTCACAGATTGCAACTAGGTTTAGACTGTGACGTCAGGAAGTTTCCTATCCAGTTATTTTACAATCCATGCTTAAACTAATATTATAAAATTAATATACGAAAATGTTAAGAGAATAATTTATGAATTTACTTTCATGATAAAAGATTAGCGACAAGTTTTATGTTGAGTATATTTCTAACAAGGTAATCAGTTGTTTGTACGAAAGCATTGCGCAAGCCTTATTTATTATATAGTTGATAAGGTTAAAGTAAACGGATTTTTTTACTCAAAACTCGTATTTACCCACACTTTTTTTTCACGAAATAATTCTGAGGCTAGAATGTACCAAATCAAAATATTCGTGCCAGAAACTAATTGGTAGTAAGTTGGAGGCTATTAAACGTTCGTCGTAGGGTACTTCGCTGTAGAATGGTAGGTTAAGGATAAACTTCGTCGCACGACGCTGCACTCTTTCAACTCGCTTTATCAGCTCGATTGTTTGAGAAGCCCAGATCTGGGTAGCGTGGCCAAGGTCAGGTCGTACCATAAATATCTTATATACACTAGATAGCGCATCTCTTTTAGTAAAATTGAAGCCAAGAATATTCCAGCAGTTACCCCCCCATTTGAATAAATGGTGGCCATGTTGGTCGTTCCCACTGGCTAATAAATGCTTAAAAACAACAATACTTTCATCATTTGAATACTATAGTTTAAAAATGTATTTGGAATAGGTTTAACTTAATTTTTAAGTTCCCTGTTTAAGAAATAGAAAATATACGAATATTCTCTCATTTCATGGGAACGACCTAAGACTGCAATCACGACTTCAATTTTTAAATTGTAGAATAACTAGACGCACTATCTAGTGTATATAAGATATCTATGGGTCGTACAACTGTGATATATAAGCATCTTCTTGTTACTGGGTTTCTTATCTCCCGGGATGATCTTCTTGGGAATCCCAACAGTTTGTTCCTCTGCTTTAGACCCTTGGTGTTATCAGCGAAAAAAAACAACTTTTGATGTTTTTACCGTCCGGGGCAGATTGTTTACATACAGCAAAAAAAGAACTGGGCCAAGGATAGAACCTTCGGAACTCCAGATGTTACCTTTCGTTCTTCAGATGTTGCACCGAGTACTGTAACGCATTGTTTTCGCCCATGAAGGTATGATGTGAACCAATTTAGCAAACTATCACAGATGTTATATTGCCGCAGTCTAGCAAGGATGAGGGAGTGTTGAACTTTGTCAAATGCTTTCGACATATCTAAGTATATACCGTCAGTTTGTTTGCCGGAGTCTAGTAAAGCGCCAATGTAATCGATAACTTCAACCAACTGGCCAAGAACTGGGTAACACAGGATTTGCCAGCACTAAATCCGTGTTGCGTACAATCTAAAATTTCCAAGAGGGGGTCACGTAATCGAACAAGAACACGCCGTTCTAGAACTTTTGGGATGATGGTATAAGCAGTGAAATTGGCCGATAGTTTTCCACATATTGTCTGTTGTCTTTCTTGTATACCGGAACGATATTTGCCAGCTTCCACTCGTCTGGAAATACACCTTCCTCTAGTGATTTGTTAAACAGTAAAGTTAACGATGGAGCGATTTGTTCAGATGTCTCAATCAGAAGTCTTGCAGTAATTCTATCAGGTCCTGATGCTTTGCTGACATTAAGTGAACGAAGTGCAGATGCCACTTCGAAAGACGTGAGGGAAATCTCTGAAAGGACTTGACCGCTAACGGATGGTAATTGCGTAGGAGATTCGACCGGGTCACACGAAAATATCGACGTGAAATACCTGTTGAAGTGTTCAGCGATCTCAACGGGGTTGGATATTAATTTCCGATCAACTTTTACATTCGTGTCCGTATCTTTGGTGTCCGGTGGTACTGACATTTGCGCTGGAACACTGGTTGCATTCTTGCTAATTTTGAAGACGACCAAAATCGTTTCGGGTTTGTTACAATATCCTGTTCTAAATTATCGACTGTCGCTTATCATACGCTTGGCTGTGGACCGCAATTGTTTGAATTTAGCGATCAGATAAACTGAAGACGACGTTCTCAACTTTCTACGTACTGATTCCTTCTTCTTTACCATATGTACAATATCTCCAGTTATCCAAGGTGGCGAGTTCTTTCCTCTAATCTTCCTCATGGGAACAAATTAAGTCGCGTATTGCGGCTAGATACACTATATGCACTGTGTTCTGATTGCACGCTTTGGTACTGAATGAATACCTTTCAGAAGACTGAGCTTTACGTACTGATAGACCCATTGGTCATTGGTCATGTGTCGCAATGATTATTTTAATGTTCAAAAGAAAAATGTTGGCCATTGACATCATCTGGCTATATATGTCTCTATTAAATTAATCCAGTACGCGACCATGCTCACAACTTTATTATTTTACTCAACAAGAGGAAACTCCTTTATTCTTGGATAGAGCCTTAGTCATAAGTCATGCGCAATACTGTATTAGTATAGGTAATCATGCGATGGCGAGTACAATTAGGGATTAATAGTACGAGTGATGTTTGGAAATTTTGCCAAAATTGGACGAGCCGCCGGGGTGAGTCCAATTTGGCAAATTTCCAAACATCACGAGTACTATTAATCCCTAATTGTAGGAGCAACATCGCATGATTACTTGTTTATTATTAGCATGACAAAATTGGATACGTACTTCTCAATGTCAGCATCATATTCTCTCGCCAAAGCCCAGTCCTGCCAGACTTTCAACCAAAATTTGGTGCTTTTGTTTGTATTTTCATTTAGTTCTTTTGTTAAAGCAAAATTTGGTGCTCGTGTTCGTATTTTCATCTAGTTCCTCCACGGCAATTTCATTTCACGCTTGAGTTTAAAATACGTTTCCGCCATTTTGTTTGTTTTGGGAAAATCATTAATTGTACTGCAGTACAATTAATGAAATAATTGTACTCCTCTCAACCAATCAGCATCCAGTAATTTTGTCATGCTAATAATAAATATGGAAAACACATAACACAGTTATCTGCTAGCAGATAACTGATCTATGCGCTGGTTGCGCCCGCGATATGTAATTTTAAAGCGAGCGGCAGTTTTAAATTCACCTGAAATTCACAAATAAAAACAAGAAAAAACAACACGAACGTGTATGTTTTTTGTGCATAAAGCAGACCTTTTCACCATTTTACCGGAACTTTAGTATAGGTAAATGAGATTTCTAACATTTTTATGTTGTTATTGTGATATTTAAATCGGGTTTTTTTAGAACCAAACGTTGTTTTATGCTACAAATCATTCGTCGAAAGAGTTAATGAAAATGCAATGTTGAATGTATATAATAAAACAATTACTGAATTAGGTTTTTGTGATAACCCAAATGATCAAGTCTCGGTAAGTGTTATCAGTTGTAGGATATTTATGAACATGAGTAGATAGAAAGGGATAGAATATATAACGCGAATTGCATGACGGGACAGAACATGTGCGATAGAAGTGTGCGCGAATTTGAGAGTTATTGAGAAACATATATTTATACGTTGAGTTTTAGTTATTAAAGTTATCTATACAAACACTTTCCACCCAGTGTGAGTTGAGAAATAAATAGATTAAATCAGTTTCTCCCTCGGTTCGACTGATAACACTTACCTCGACCTTGATAATTTCGGATATCACAAAAAGTCATCCAAATCTGTTTATTATCATGCAGTATAGACATAATTATTATGTCTATGACCATTTTAATAGATAGTTGCTGTGTGTATAACTTTAACCTGCACTCATTCAACAATATTTAAGCAACATATTCAGATTAGACCTATTAAGTTTATTTCATTATACTTATTCCTAAACTTCATAACATGACACAATTTTACTAGTATGCCGTACTCGTTCATAGACATTAATCCATTAAGCCATTTAAGGCCTCAATGCACCTTAATCAGTCGTACATTACTACTTTATTCTGTTTAACGCCAGATAATTCTACTCATTAAGGGAAAGTACATTTATTATGCCGAGGGGGGGGGGGATAAAGATGTTAAGGGGGGGCTCCAAAATATTTTCTGGCATTAAAGGGGGGGCTCTGAAAGTTTTTGATATACTGAAGGGGGGGCTCTAAACTTTTCAAAGGTTTGACCCCAGCAAATTAAAGTTAAAATGTTTACATCAGTTTCAGGTAAAATTTGCGTAATAAAGTAATTATTTTTGTGAAATGATAACCATTTTTGTAAAATACAGTCAATTTACATGCAATTTGTTTGCGAAATTTGCTTTAGAAAACGCCAGAAATTCAGTCCTAGAGCTTCGAAAATGTAAAAATTTTCTGGGGGAGGACCCCCAGACCCCCCTTTTTTCCCAAAACTTAGTATAAGAGTGCCAATCAATCACAAAAAGGTTTATTATAATTATTACACGTATAATCCTCTAACATCCCCCCAACCACAAATGTCAGATGCTTTGCTACGTCCCTGATGGTTGTATTCGAAACAGATTTCAGTTTTAAGATATCCTTAGTCTGCCCTTCTAAATGGATACATGAAATCACTTATAGCTTATTTTAATTTTTTTGCGCCAGGTTTGTGAAGTAATTTACGCGCCAGAAAGCAAAAAAGCATATACAATTTGCAAGAATTATATGTTCTATGTTTATAGGATATTTCGTACAAACGGGATGGAAATTAAAGAAATTGAAGCATACTGGCACTTTTGCATGCATTTTTGACAGGCATGCAAAGACATTTGCAACAGATGCCGGGAGATACGTTGGGTGGGGGCAACATACTGTAAGGTTCCAGCACATTACCCTGATCCAGGAAATCCTGGCCACTACATGAACGTGTTCAAGACTCCGAATATGCTGAATGATGGACAACGACAACCTGTTGATATTTTCACCCCTAGAGCCAATTTAAAATGTTTTAAAGACGGTGCCATTTCATCTGGCTCTAGTGAGATGAAAGAAGCAGCAGATCGGTAGTTTTGTTGAGGAGAAGCACTTGAGTATATCAGACATCTTGAGGAACTGCAAATTGTATCTATGATAAAAGAGAATTCCGGATTGTACTATATAGGGGGGCATCAAAATTTACCGATAACCTCAACAGGGGCCCTGTAAAAATATGAGCTTTTTTCAAGACATCTTCATCCCCCTCCCTCGGTGTAATAAATGTACTTTCCCTAAGCATGAACGGTCAGAAAAACCGCGCGTTTTAGGCTGCTTTTTCTGAGTTTTTGGAAGTTTAAGATAAAACTAAGACGTCATACCTCAGGAATTTTTTATACCCATGCAAAATACATCTGTATGCGAAGTTTCAAGAAGATTTAACGTTTTAAGGTCGAAGAAAAAGCATTTGAAAATTGACAAAAATATTGCCATATTCAAAGTGCTCATAGTGGCCAACAAGATGCCGATGACGAAAATAACATCACTTGAAAAACGCCAATTTATTTATGTTTAAGAGCGACTAAAACAAGGACTAAAAGCTCAGGATCAATAACAATACCTGGGGTTTAGTACAACATAAGTTTTGGGACTGTCAAAATGTTTTATAGTATATATTTTTGAGTTGAACGGCGAGATTTCCTTCGGCACGTCCAAACTTTCGTCATGAACTTTTGAAAGCTGATTTTCCCGCGCGCCGGCTTCAACGAATCATAGACTTTCATCATAGGAGTTAGCCTTCCAGTATTTGTGCCGTGATAAAATGTAAAATGTGCAGTGATAAAATTTGCTTTGATAACTGGTTGTTAATTAACACAAGAAAATGAGAAGATGAGCGGAAAAACTGAACTAATCGGGCGAAACATTTTTAATGAGAATGATTTAATTGAAATTGAAACGATGACTGCCAAATTATCGAACGCCCGGACTATTAAATATAAACATACTTATGGTTCATAAGATGAACAAAGTTTCTCACCAAAGATCTCTTTATGAGTTTGGAAGATGGAGTAAATGATACTTGAGATTTTGTAATTACTGTATAATTTTCAGAATTCTATAGAATGTCCCCGCGCGCATTGCAGGAGATGCCCTTTTATAGTGTCTAGATTACAAAACTGTCTGTGGGTGCATGCCCCTGGAACTCCTCTAGAGGTTTGTCACGCCTTAGCCCGTAAGCCGCCTTTCATTTGCCAAGACGAAAATATTTATTTTCTCCAGTTATGTTATTATGAAACTAAGCTGTTATAGATAGTCGTAACTGCAGGTACTGTCAAGGCTGCCCAGAGGGGTGCACTTTGCTCTGGGACCCCAGTCAGTAAAGGGGGGGCCAAATAAAGAATTGTAGTGAAATATACAGATATAACTGTCATCTAGACTTCCAGAATGCAGGATTTGGCCATTTCTGGGACCTCAGTCTGGGATCATAGTGTTAGAACATGGAATCAAGAGAGCCCCAAGTCCAAGTTTGTCCTGGGCCTCCAAATTTCCCTGAGACACATTATTTTAAGGGTGTGTTCAGGGATTTTCAGGGCGTGCTTCTTCTCGGCTAAACTTTGCACAAAAATGTGCAGTGATAAAAAATTCTTAAAATTAGGTATGGACTATTTAATTATTTAAAGGTAACTGAAACAAACAAAAAATACACTAGTCGGGTAGTTTAGACATTAATAAAACGTTTTCTAACATTTAAAATCTAAAAAGAAACAGAATTTAAATTAAAAATTACCGTTTAAGACCTAGTCTCCTACGCATACCTACTTAGCGGGCAGTGCCCTCACGTAAGGTATGCTTACTTTGGCCAAGAATTCCTTTCCTCAAAATTAGCCAATCACAGCTTTACCCACGAAAATTGTGGGGCTTGACCTTTGACTGACCTTGAGGCTTGGGTGAGTTGGGTCGTCAAAAGTTTCAAAACATTTAATCACATTTAATCTTGAACATTTCATATCTTGATTTGTACGTATTCATATCTTTAATAAGCCGATTATCTGCGAGAGCTGAGAGATATATTTGTTATACATATACCAGTCTACAAATTTACAATATGGAACAATTGTAAAATCTGTTAGAATTTGTCGAGCTATTGTTTTGAACAGACAGTGAAATACAGTGTAGTAAAATCGAACAATATCACCTAAAATATTTCGCGATGTTTTGATTACTTTTATACAAGCGTTTGCAGCAGGTGTTACTGTAACACGGGTAATATACTGGACAAAGAGGTAATTGTTAATACAATTAAATACCAATTGAAGATTACAGAATTCAGCTTATATAAAATACTGAATTAATTCATTGCATATTTCGGTTTCTTAGTTTGTATATGACTAGCCAGTTTATAAAGTTTAATAAAATCGTAATTACGAAAGTCGCTCTGATAATGAACGTTCGGAAACTTATAGTATATATTGAATATACAAGTCACGCAGTCGCGTCAAGTTCAAAACAAGTATATTTAATACCAGTGCATAGTTTTATATACATTTAAGCCTTCGACCTATCTATCGCGTAATTTCGTTGGAAAAATATTCAATATTTTCTACTTCGACTGCTATTGATCAGAAAACTCGATCTGTTCACATTTACGGCCATTTAAATACGTATATACCGTATTAATATTCGATTATCGCACGCTCCTTGTTTACACTTTACAGCTCTGACTTTACAGTTGACATTCAAAGTGGGCGTGACTAGTGTATTTGAATGCTATTGGCTAATGGAATACAATTGGAAGGCGAATTGCTAGCCAAAGTAAGCAGACCGTACGTGGCGGGCCCAAACCCGCTAAAGTAGGTCTGCATAGGAGACTATTTAAGACCGGGAGGCGTGTGAATATTTCTTGAAAAATTGTCGAATACCGAACTTAAAGCAGAAAAGTTAAGAAAACTATTGAAAAGTTAAGCATTTGCACATGATTAAGTGTAGAGTAAATCATTATCCTTAAATATAGTCAACGCAAAATTTATACATGCTACGCAAATAAAGTTACTGACAAAAATGTGCATCATACTTGCAAAGGACAGAATCGAAGTAGGTATAGCATGTGTGTTCCATATATATTATACAAATAATGAATGTTTATGAGGGCAATGGTAAGAATATTTTCACGAGGTGAAAGATGGAATGTTCCATTCAACGAGGCGACAGCCGAGTTGAATGGAACATTCCATCTTTCACTGAATAATACCAAAATAGACTAATATTAAAAAGTTTACTGTAAGCTCCCGCCATTTTGACGAGTCGCATTTGCATTAAATCCCATTTATTGAGTTTAGAATATCGGGTTAAAATAAACTGCGATCACCGTACGAGATCGAAGCATTTTGACGGATGCGATTTATCGAAAACACAAAGAGTGCAATGGAATAAAACGTATAGTACAATTGCACTCGCAAGAGTGCAATGGAACGTATTCCATTGCACTCTTGGGAAATGGAATTTTCTATTCAATATCACGTGACCATAAACAGCCAATTAAACAATCAGAATTCAATAAGGTATTATATAAAGCGGATTTAGATACCCCGGAGAATCTGCATGGTTGTACCTGATGGTTATTCATGTTGTTATACTGGTGTCTAAAAGTTACAGGGCTATTGGTGTTGTACTGTTGTTGGTGTTGTTGCTGTTGTTGTTGCTACTGCTGCTGCTGTTGTTGCTGCTGCTGCTGCTGCTGCTGTTGCTGTTGCTGTTGCTGTTGTTGTTGTTGTTGTTGTTGTTGTTGTTGTTGTTGTTGCTGCTGCTGCTGCTGCTGCTGCTGCTGTTGCTGCTGCTGTTGCTGCTGTTGCTGTTGCTGCTGTTGCTGTTGCTGCTGCTGTTGTTGTAGATATCGATGTTGTAATTGTCGTTGATATAACAATTGTTGGTGCAGTCGGTAGTGTTGTTGTTGCCTGTTGTTCTGTGCATGGTTGTTGTCTCTCTTGCTTTTGAGCATGGTTGTGCATTATTAACAGTATTTAATATTTCTTCACTGAAATATTAAATACTGTTATTTTTCTTGTTATACATTGAGTCTTGCATTATATACCAGATTCTACAGACCACGTTTGCAGTTGGTTGACGTTGTTTTCTCAGTGCAACGACTCTGAAAATCCGAATTTGGGTGAATTGGGTCACCAAGTTCCCGTGAATTTACATGAACACTTTTTTTGAATCTATGAACAAGGACAAGTTTATGCTATAATAGGATTCTAATCCTCCAGGAATTCATGCAGGTGTTTGCTTTAATTCAAATATACCCAACACAGTTCTTTATTGTTTACTTGTTGATCAACAACAAAACAATAACAAAAGTCTGGTACTGATCCCTTAAAAAGCGTTGTTTTAACACATCAACTAACAACATCAATTCCCACTAGCCAGGTTATTTTTTCCACATAACAAGACGTTCTATATGGGGTGTAAAGTCGTTGGCATTATATGGAATCAAAGAACTCTTTCCAAGATCAAAAAGTATGCGTGATGTAATTATCGAAAGGATCGGTATTTACAGACTACACACTCCTCAGACTGATATATTTTATACTGGCTATATGTAACTGTCCACTAATTATCACGAGTTATACTGTATTATATATTTTAAAACTAGGGTTCGACTTCCATGAGTGTTGCTGACTCAGTTCGTATGAATATATTCTTTTAGACACTTATAAGTGTGTTTCACTTAGCACCACAATGCAAAAGGTGTATGGCGATTAGCCAGCAGTTTTCCCAGTGAGAAAACCATGTTTGATTATTGTATTATTGACACAATACGCTATGGATAATATAAAATGAAAAATATAAAATGAAAATATATAAAATGAAAAATATAAAATGCTTGCAGGTTGCAGGTTTTCATCAAACATTGATATCCTCCTCGTAATAGGAAAGTAGGAACATGATTCCAAAGCCAGATAAGATGCCTAGATTTTGAAGAAGAAACTTAGAGAACTTGGGAAGTTCGCGGAATTCAGGACTGTGCATCAATGTTGGTAACTATAATAAACAAAAAAGTTACAAAATTATTTGGCAACTGTTTTTGTACACTTCATGGTGGGAAAATAATCAATTTCATTGAATTGTTATAAAATATCAGTGTTTTTATACTATGTTAGCTTAGAAATTTCAGGTTTTTTATACTGGATTTAATAATTATCATATAATTCTATTCAATCCATTGATATTGCTTGTCCTAACAGTGGAAATTAGATTTTGAAAAGGCTTTTTAAAGATCGAGAATACCAATATATATAGGCATATCTATATATCATTAATTGCACGATTTCGTTCAATGTAAAAATTAGTAAAAATGAAGTAGAAATCCTGGTGAGCCCTCGAAGGGGGAGGAAATGCCCTAAATTTGTTGTTTTTCATCCCTCTTTTCCCAAAAACTGCTAATTCAGGGTATTTTCTATTTTTATTTATTTCAAAACATCATTTCTACCGATTTATACTGTAAGTATATACGTACAGGGACTTCCATGCTCAGTAGATCAGTTCCATGTCCATGCATGGCATGGGAAATAAGAAATCAAAAAATGGAAACATTGTGAAAATGAAATTACCATGTTAGTGAGGGCGACATAAATGAAGAATCCACCCGTGGCAGCAAAAATCCATAAATTCACATCCCCAATTTCAGAAATTAATATTCCAAAAACCAAACCAATGAAACACGAACAAGCTGTGAGGAAATTGGCCAACAGTGCTGTCTTGACGCTCAATCCAGCAGAAAGCAATACAGCAAAGTCGCCTATAGTAAGTACAGAAATTTATAATTCAATCAAGAGCTTTTCTAATCTATCAATTGTACCTTCTACTGCAAATATCAAACTATTTGCCATTTGGATGAATACAGAATTACAGCAACAAACCTCTTAAACTATTGCAATGGTTACCTGTCTGCCTACCTACACTCACCCGCAAATGCCTACCTACCTACCTATACCTAAACTGCCTGCCTGCCTGCCTGCCTATATCAACATGCAATGTTTAGTTTGTTAGCCGCTCATAAAACAGTTTGCAATAAAATGGCGATCTTTATCTTTATACCCACTGACTTCATGTGGGAGCTCATGACTAAGCAGTGGCAGATATTCTGTAAGAAAACGAGGTCAGGGGGTGCTTGGGACGCATGCGCGTAAAAGAAAAAAAAAACAAAAATGTGTTTGACTTCAAATTCTGTACTACTGTAGTTTGAGTGGGTTTATAGTACTGTTAAAATTCTATATTATCTAGTGATTTGTAGTGTAAAATACTGAATAATTCTATCTGATTTGTTGTATATTGATTCATTACTGACACTGATATTCTATACGAGAAGGCCACACCAGTAGCTATATCATCAGCAACATTATGCATGGATTGTACGAAACCTACCTAGTTCATGAGGGAGCTCATGACAAAACACAGCAATGGAAGTACTTATACCACCAGATATACTATCAGAGAATGCTATACCGATAGCTATACCATCCGCAATATTGTGCATAGTATCACCAACAATGATATTCCATGCCACAGATGAAATTGTTTTTTTCACTTCTCCATTTTTCTTGATTGCTGATGATTTCTCTGGGCTAATTCCGTCACAACCATTTTCGATCATGGCAGGCTGGACATAAAAATGAAGAGGAAAACATTAAAGGATAATCAAAACTGTTTTTTAAAATAAAAGAAAATTGGAGATAAAATAGAATAATTCTGACTATTAGAATGTTAGGGTTTGTAATCCAAGTGAGAATATATACATTTTAAGACCTATCACAACCCGCACATCCGATTACCTATATATACATGAACTTACGGTTACAGCTCAACAGCTGGCCTCTGTAGCTCAGTTAGTTAGAGCGCTGCACCGGAATCGCAGGGCCGTAGGTTCAATTCCTACCAGAGGACCTTGTGCTGCATTTTTCGCAGTCGTTCCTGGTTAGGTCTTAAAATGTATATATTCTCACTTGGATTACAAACCCTAACATTTTAATATTAATTCTGACTACTCTGATTCATCGTATATTTTGAAGTTTTAATTCATTTCTTCATACAATAAATGCTTTATTCAAATATTTCATGCAAAAGTTACACAATGGAATTACGCAGTGAGTTTACTGTGCAAAGCAAATTCAGCAAGACAAACTTGTGCTAATTTCCCATTCATTTTTCATCCAAATTTAACCAAAATTTATCAATTTGTCCTTTCACTATGTCCAATTAGTCCTTCAAATTTTCGTATTAATCCGTTTGATATTCTTTAATTATGTTATCGTGTTGACATAGAAACACACTCACAGATAGACACACACAATGACATACTGTACAAACGCGGATGAAAACATACCGCCATTTTGATTACCTTTTCTTTGTTCGTTCTTGTAACATTGTCATATCTTTGATTTTCTGATTCTTCGTTGTTCATATAAGCCTTAGAAAGCACATATTCGGGTAAGTATTAAAATCATATTTTTTTATCTTTATGTAATTGATGTTATTCATTGGCCGTATATTTTTATCACATAAACGTAAAACGTTAGATTCTTCTGGACGCGTTTTGATGTCACTTGATAACAAAACTTATATATTTAACATAATGAAAACAATTTGACAGACTAAAAACAAAAACATGTTGTTATATTTCGACAATTAAAGACATTTTCTCTATTACCTACCATGTTTGTTAAAACGCAAGGTTCATTTCTCTTTTGATCACTTGATTCAATTGCACATTCTTCTGTCACAGTGTTCTAGAAAATATAATTTGAAGAAATGTATATTGTTGTTGTTGTTCCTGTTGCTTAAAACAAGTTATGGCAGTGCATGTCAATTTATTCCGTTCCTTTTTAATGCACAATTTTATAAGATGCAATCCAAATTATCGTACCTCAACGGAATGTGAATGACCAGACTTCCCTAGGATAAGATGAGTAATAGTCTCAAAAAGAAAGAAGCCATATATTGCTGCAGTTGCCACGAGAAATTTCCAAAGATGGTCTTTGTCTTCATTTTCATCTGATGATCCAGTACCATGAGCATGGTCATGAGAAGCATGAAAGCCAAGTGCCTTGGAAATGAAGTGATAGTTAATCAATATATACCTTTAACCCTTCATGTGTACCAATCTTCAGTTATTGTGGAAGCTTGATAAGCGGCTTACATGGTACTGCTTTGTTGGGACGGGAGAATATGCGAAAATTACGAAGTAATGTGATAGAACGTATTCATGAGAAAAACCCATGAGTATATAATATTGTATCATGAATATATTGCATCATGTTTCCATCATATATTGCGGATGATGGCTTAGGAAGGAATTAGATTTTTGAAATGTCCTTTCGGAAAACCTTTTGAGGCAAACTTGTGGCAAGTCTAGAAAGGAATTGGAATGGTGTTGATCAGTCCATTTTATTCAAAGTTTTTTTCATTTTGCAATAATAAATCATTACGCCTTCTATAGCCCCCATGCAGTGAAGGAGGGTTGTCCAATACTGTCGAATTTACTCCATCTTTACGATTTGTGAATTTCGTGCGATAAACATCAAGGACAAGCTAGGAAATTGATTTAAGCTTGTCCGTTCAAGACGAATGGAGACCAATGGCTTGATTCGTCGGATCCATCCACTGGACACGAATGGAGAGATTCATGATTCAGTCTTAATAAAAAATATGCAACCAAACTCACATGAGGGAAAAGATGTAACAATGCGTCACCAGCCAATGTACCAATAGCCAAAGCAATAAAGAACACGAGGGTTACTTTATAAAATAACCTGTTCATAAACGGAATAATTGCAACTCCAACAAGCGACATCAAACTGATAATGGCGACAGCAAAAACACTATAACCCCATTCTAGACAAAATAGAACATTGTAGATCTATTAAATTTCCCCAATCGCTGGGTTTCAGTTATTTTTTTGTACAGTGGTGCAAATGGTGATCAACTTCAAATGTATGGTCTATGGACATTTTGCACTTATGAAAGCAAGAAAAAGTTATAGATATGCTTCCATTACATGTATTTGTCACCAAACACAAGGTCAATTCATTAGTAAACCATTTGTTGTGATCATTTATACACCTGTTGATAAAAAATTACCTGTAATGAAAGAAACTAGTCCATTAAAAGAACTAAATTCCGTAATTTTGGCTCGCCATGTGTAGCAATATTATATTCTAAAACTATTAATTTAATTTCTCCTTCTCCGACAATAATTAAATATTAATTTAATTAATTAAAATAATTTAATTAGAAGAAATTAAATTAATTTAATTTCTTCTTCTTCACAATACTAGTGCAGATCGGTCTGGGTACCACGAATAGTGTAAAGCCGCCCAAACCAAAGTATTGTTCTTCCTGGAATGTGGCGAAAGTGTTGGATTTTCTGAGAAATCAAGAACCTCTTGACAAGATTCCCTTAAAGATGCTTACCTTTAAGCTTACTGCCCTATTAGCTCTCACAACATTTGCAAGAGCTCACGAACTGGCAGCATTGGATCTTGATTTTTCGCTGGTGAAGGAGGAGGCCTGGGAATTTACGATCCCAGAGCATGTGAAAAACTCTACGCCTGGTCACTCGCCAAGGAAGTTCTACCTTCTTTCATTTCCACAAGACAGCACTATCTGTGTAGTGAGGGTTTTAAGAGCTTATACCCTCCATGCTGGGAACATTCGAAAGGCTCGTAAGCTTTTAGTGTCTTACATTGCCACCCACGACAGTGTCTCAAGCCAGACTGTATCGCGTTGGCTGACACAAACAATCCATTTGGCTGGTATATAATTGCATTTTACGCTTCAGCTGCTGCAGATGCAGGGCTGTCGTTGGACCTAATAGTGGAAACAGGAGTTTGGTGTTCTGCCAAGGTGTTCGAAAAACACTACCACAAACGCCTTTGTGCATGCTGTTCTTAGCAGTTAGAGTTTATATGTACAGTTAATGTTAATATGACTGTTTTGTTGTGGATATAATTTCTGTTTTGTAGAGTTGTTTGGTATATTTCTGTTACTGTTACTGTACAGTATTTCAACATGCCAGTAGCTACCAAAAGTCTGCACTAGTATTGTGAGTATCAGTCGGAGAAGGAGTGAAGGAGAAATGTAATTTCCCCGGAGGGTCAGGTACTTACCTGAAGGGGAGATGTAGTTCTCCGAACTAGCTCCTTCGAAGACTGATATGAACAATACGATCCCCACCGTATTTGGAAGGACCTATTGACTAGTGAAGTCTTCTTGATTTACAAGTCCTTCCCCACCCAGCTACTGACATGTGGACCTCAGCAACGACACTCATTCAGAGGATAAATGCGCATGCGTTGGCTTGATTTATATTCGTGGTACCCAGATCGTTCGCGCCGCGATCTGCACTAGTACTGTTCGTATCAGTCTTCGAAAGAGTTCGGAAAACTACATCTCCCCTTCAGGTAAGTACCTAACCCTCCGGGGAAATTACATTTCTAAATCTTGTTTTTCTTAATAAATGTTGTAGCGATTTCATATAGGAGCGTTTCTTTACACTATATTTACTGTGTCTTTAATTATTTTGTTTGAATTAATTTCATTTTTTCATGATACGCGGGCTATCTGAATTTCATGCATAACTTACTATGTTTTGCAGCAACATCGTTGTTAGAACTATGATCATCATGTGATTCTACTGCACAAGTCTCGCTTTCTATTTGTTGAAGTAAAGCTGGACTAAGGCTTTGAAATTTCTCCAGTGTAAAACCTGTCATTCTGTCCACTTGGTAAATGGCGAAAAGTTCATCAACGGAATAACACTAGAAATAGAAAATGATGCCTCGAATAATCATTTTTTTGAGATAATTGATTGCGTTGCATCAGACAGCCTCTACCATTTGGGTCTTTAACTTAATTAAAGTTGTCCTAGCTGAAGTTCCAGGAACATTAAACAGGATGGAAGAAAGAAAGTACCATTTTTCTACCAATATTGCCTCCACAATGTTGCAGTAAGTGATCTAAATCTAGGGAGGAACTTGTTTGGGTGTAACTGTAACTGTAACTGTAAGTTAAATTTATATGTGATTGTGAGGAATATATATTGTAATTATTTATTATATGACTGTGCATTCCATCCGCAAAATACCGAGCGTTTTGATTAATTCCTGAGCGGTCGGAAACCAAAAGTACAGGTCGCGAAGATGGACCGATCGCGAAGAAAAACTTGAATGACTGACGTGTTATTTGCATTGACGTGTTATTTGCATGCAGTGACGTTGTTGTAAGTAGCTATATCATTATGGATGTATTCATTCATTCGCTATAAGAGGTCTTAGCTACAACTATTTAATTGTTCATCTCACTACAGTTTACATTCGGAATTTTATTACCTTTTGATACTTTTTGGTTTCATTGCCATGATCATGATCAGTGGTTTGTCTTCTATAACGCCTCTGAAGACTATGTTGCATTTCTTGGATCTGCGGACCCTCAGGGATAGTCAGGGACCTACGACGTCGATGATCGTGGCCAGCGTGATCATCGTGGTCATCATGATCGCTGTCATCATCGTGCTCATCGTCTCTGCCAATTTTTAATTTCTTCAATAATTTTTCAATTTTTTCTTTACTGATGACGCCATTATCTGCATATTCTTGAAACAACTGGTTGACAAAATACGAAGAGCAAGGTAAAGGGGACTGATATCTAACCTTAATGCACTGTTCCTGAATTAACCTAGATATAATGATCACGCTTATCTCTGGTAAGAGAGATTTCCCGATATCTGCATCACTTGAAATATTTAGTTGGTGGAAGATATCATCACTTGAGAAACACTAGAAAAGTTTAAAAAAAAAATAAGACACTAGAAAAGTTAAAAAAAATAAGAAGCTTTGAAAAGGTGCATTCCAGTGTAGGTAGTGCTCTACAATATTCATTGACCTCCTGTGGTGTGTTCCTGAAGACCTGAACTACAAATTATATTAAAATGAAATGAAAAACAACTTTAATTTCGACCAAAGACCCTACAGCAGCAAGTTACAAGTACGTAAAAGACAATTCCTGTTATTCAGTATCAGGAGCAAATTTAAGAATTCTAAGTCTAAGATTCGTTTTTTCATTTAATATCATTGATTCTAATTAGCTCACAGTTGGAAAGCAGCATCTAATAACATGGCTGTTTACTTTATTAAACTTGAAAGTATTTTTTACGCCCATACTGTGTTAAAATTTGCGTACAATATCAATATATCTGAGGCTTACATGTAAATACAAATATTATTCTGATTATCTCTGGATTTTGCATTCGATACATGAATACAAAACCTTTAAGGATAATAAGGGATTGACTCATCCATCGATAAACGACTTTAATTGGTATCGAAGGAACTAGATTCAGTTCCGAAATATCACTTACTCGAACCGACCTGACCGCGTAGCTCAGTTGGCAGAGCATTGGGCTAGTATTCCAAAGGTCGTAGGTTCGATTCCCACCGTGGTCGGGCATATTTTTCAAGCTCGCCCGGTGTGGACTTTAAATTGGTGACATATCTTATTAAGTGTAACAGTTATACTTTTTATAATGACGTGAACGTCATTTTAAATGTCGATCATAATCAGGAAAACGTTTAGATTTTTTAGAGTTTAATAAACGTTGTCGAGTCTGTGTCCTGACTGTGAGTAGCTAAATTATTTGCTCTACAAAAGGAACAATTGCAAAAGTTGAATGCAGTGCTGTTTACAGTAGCTCGGTCTCACCTCATTCCCTGCATGAAGTAGTTGCCCTGTGGTGCTATTGATCTCTTTCAATAACTGGTCAAAAATCTGTGCACATAAAGCTCCTATATAATATAATAATAAGTTGTTGCATGACGTCGTATATACAGAGTGTGGTTGCCCATTCACCCAAACGCGAGGCTCATCATACGACTCGCTCGACAACTATAATTTACCGATTAGGCTATTACTTTAGTGAGATACGTTATTACAGATATTAGAAAATCCTAAGTATAAATTTTACACTAACAGCGATGTAAGTGACATTAACTAATTAATGCAGATTTAGCTGCTAATGGCAGCTGATATTTACCTGTCTCGTATCTTTCCAAAAACTGTTTGTAAACATCCACATTTCGTGTAATTTGCTTTTCGTTATCATGATCATCATCATGCTCGTCATGATCACCATCATGATCATCATCATGATCACCATCATGATCATCGTCGTGATCATCATCCTCAGTGTGCTCCTGCGAATGCTGCTCATTTGGTAGAAGTGCATAAACAATAATTGGGGCATATTTTGAAAACTCCTCTTCATTGACTAATTTTGTTGTTGAAATATTGAAAATCTTGAACAGTGACTCAGCTGTGATGCACTAAAAAGATATAATATAAGTTCTTTGTGGGATTTCTGTGGCTGGTTGTATAAAGTAGTTAAGAGTACTAATTTTTTATAAATTCGGCCGTGAACGATAAAGATAGCTTCTCTTGCGACACAACCATTACCCGTTTAGCAAAGCTAACGATTAGTATATAAGCTGGATTGCAGTTTCTTGTAGGTGTGCGTATCCATTAATACAATTAATGATACAGAGACTGGCAAACATCCAGATTTTCATGAAAACGGCTGCATGAAGATCCGCGGAGACCTGACGACGTACAGATTGAAACCATGCATAGCGAAATAAACAAGGTGTTTTCAATTGCCAAATACAAATGAAGAATCATAAACGTTTCCAATTCTGAAGTCAACAAATGCTATAGATATACAAGCGGTTTATAAAATATAACACTCGTGACCGATCATATATACTATAATTTAGAAACGAATTCAATTGGCACAAAACGTATACGTTATCGTGCAATACAGCCGGTTAATCCTTATACTAGTTATAGTTAAATAAAACAATGTCAGTATAACTCGGTCACGTCGACGTACGAATGTTTATAGAGAGGGGGTATATATATAAAATGGGTTAGGTTTCATGTGAAGACTGAAGATAACCATGGCACGTTTTGATGTAAGATATAACCATTCACCAAAAATTTAAAAAACACGTTTTGAACTGTGTAAACATTATTTCTATCTTGAGTATTTAATGCCTTCCTCGTTTTCGAAACTAATTTCACCAATGAAAGCTCAACATTGAAAGACTTTTTAAAACCAACCGACATATCTTTAGTCGGTTAATCCTTATACTAGTTATATAGTTAAATAAAACAATTTTAGTCGGTTAATCCTATACTAGTTATAGTTAAATAAAACAACAGCCGTGGTTAATCCTTATACTAGTTATAGTTAAATAAAACAATGTCAGTATAACTCGGTCACGTCGACGTACGAATGTTTATAGAGAGGGGGTATATATATAAAATGGGTTAGGTTTCATGTGAAGACTGAAGATAACCATGGCACGTTTTGATGTAAGATATAACCATTCACCAAAAATTTAAAAAACACGTTTTGAACTGTGTAAACATTATTTCTATCTTGAGTATTTAATGCCTTCCTCGTTTTCGAAACTAATTTCACCAATGAAAGCTCAACATTGAAAGACTTTTTAAAACCAACCGACATATCTTTAGTCGGTTAATCCTTATACTAGTTATATAGTTAAATAAAACAATTTTAGTCGGTTAATCCTATACTAGTTATAGTTAAATAAAACAACAGCCGTGGTTAATCCTTATACTAGTTATAGTTAAATAAAACAATGTCAGTATAACTCGGTCACGTCGACGTACGAATGTTTATAGAGAGGGGGTATATATATAAAATGGGTTAGGTTTCATGTGAAGACTGAAGATAACCATGGCACGTTTTGATGTAAGATATAACCATTCACCAAAAATTAAAAAAACACGTTTTTAACTGTGTAACATTATTTCTATCTTGAGTATATTTAATGCCTTCCTCGTTTTCGAAACTAATTTCACCAATGAAAGCTCAACATTGAAAGACTTTTTAAAACCAACCGACATATCTTTAGTCGGTTAATCCTTATATTAGTTATATAGTTAAATAAAACAATTTTAGTCGGTTAATCCTATACTAGTTATAATTAAATAAAACAACAGCCGTGGTTAATCCTTATACTAGTTATAGTTAAATAAAACAATGTCAGTATAACTCGGTCACGTCGACGTACGAATGTTTATAGAGAGGGTGGTATATATATAAAATGGGTTAGGTTTCATGTGAAGACTGAAGATAACCATGGCACGTTTTGATGTAAGATATAACCATTCACCAAAAATTTAAAAAACACGTTTTTAACTGTGTAAACATTATTTCTATCTTGAGTATTTAATGCCTTCCTCCGGTTTTCGAAACTAATTTCACCAATGAAAGCTCAACATTGAAAAACTTTTTAAAACCAACCGACATATCTTTAGTAAAAATCAAGAAAACACATGCAAAATAGTGTTACATCGAAAGCATTGCTCTTCTTCATATATACTCGTCCAGTTTTTTTCTACCGCGGCCTCCAATAAATTCTCAGTTCCCGGACAAAAATTACCGGCATGCAATCACGCGGCTATAGGCAATGTATAGGCCTAAACCTCGTTTCCCGACACAAAAATTGGCTGTCATTTCACATTTCACGAGAACTATAATATTGGCAATTACTATACGGCTCGCGAAATACCACCTTTTATAAAGATATTAATTGGCCGGCAAATATTCTGATATTAGGGGCCGATCACATGGTAAAAGTTAATCCGGTTAATTGACCGCAAGTTGGCCCGGCTAAGTGGGTTGATTTTTAAATTACAATTACTCCTGCAAGGCGATAATAGCTAGGACTAAACTAAGCTAATTAATTAATTAATTAATTAATTAATTAAGATCGAAAATGGCGAACAGTTAAATTTTACGGCGTCACAAAAATAACATTTTGATGCTACTTTTAACTTACTGATTTGTTGACATTTTGTAAGAGAGATAAGAGATAAGAGATAATTTTATTTGCCACAGATATCAGTTATATACAAGTTATTTTATGATAATAATATAGTTAATTTTAAATAGTCAATATGTATACACCATAAAGTAGATATCGGTGGCAAGGAGGCATCTGGAAACCATAGGGCTTGTAAATAGGATGTCTCCTTGGAGCAGTAGTAACAGAAAATATAGATCAGAAAAATGATTAGTTAGGAGAGGTCAAGAAAAACGTAATTAGGCATCTAGCAAGCATTTCAAAATTCTATTCCTGAAGCAATTGATAGTCTGTGCACTTTTGACGGACTCTGGGAGAGAATTCCACAATTTGGGTCCTTGAAATAGGATGGTAAACTGCATTACATTTGTTCTACATGCATGAGCTCGGTATGAACTCGCATTTCTGGTGTTGTAATCATGGATTTCATTGTTGGTAATAAACAGATTGAGAAAAGAAGGTGGTAATAGCTGATTGTGGTAAGAAAACATAAATTTGCCAATATGGAAGGAATTAAGCTGATATATATTGAGTATTTTTAATTTACTAAACAGTGGAGCAGTATGCGCCCGGTAATTAGAATTGGTCAGTACTCTGACAATTCGTTTCTGTAATAGAAATATGCGACTTAAATTGGAAACATAGGTGGAGGACCAAGCAGTGTTACAATAGGTAAGGTATGGGTAGATTAACGTGTAGTACAATGACAATTTAGTACTAGCAACAAGTAAAAACGAGCTCGATAAATTATGCCGATAGACTTAGAAATCTTTTTACAGACATGACTAATGTGAGGTTTCCAGGTGAGATTCTCATCCAGAAAACCCCCCAGAAATTTAACCTTTGGTTTACGAGCAATACATTTGTCATCGAAAGAGAGAGATATATCATGAGAGACTTTCTTATGCCTGGAATGGAAAATAACATAGTCTGTTTTGTCAATATTAACAGAGAGTTTATTTGCTCTCATCCAAGAACCGATGCTTTGTAATGCTTCGTTTAACACTGCAGCTAGTACCACAGGGTCAGAGTGAGAGTAACAGATGCTGGTATCATCCGCAAATAACAAAGGTTCAACTATACGGGAGGCATTCGGAAGGTCATTTATATATAAAATAAAAAGGAGAGGGCCTAAAATTGAACCTTGAGGCACACCACATTGGGTAATTAACTGACTAGAAGTAACATTGTTGTACTGAACAAATTGTTTACGGTTGTAAAAATAACTTTTGATCCAATTTAGCGCGACTCCGCGTATGCCATAGTTTTCGAGCTTTGAAAAAAGTATACCGTGATTTAGTGTGTCAAACGCTTTCGACAAGTCTAGAAATACACCAATAGAAATTTTGTTTTGATCGATTCCAGTTGCTATTTTATTTACTAAATGTGTGAGGGCCGGGCATGATTAGTTGAATGTTTGGTACGAAAACCAAACTGAAAAGAATACAAAATTTCAAATCTTTCTATAAAATTAAGCAAACGATTATACATAAATTTCATAAATTTTAGAGAAACTTGACAAGATCGAGATAGGTCTATAGTTCGTAAATATATCTACATCACCAGCTTTAAAAAGAGGAATTACTTTTGCCGTTTTAAGGTTATTTGGAAATATCCCTTTTTCAAGGGATATATTAATTACACGCATTAATGGTTTCGAAATAATATCAAACGAACTTTTTACAAGATGCATAGGTATATGATCATAACCAGGTGCTTTTCCACCTTTAAATGACATAGAGATAATTTTTAGCTCATGTTCAGTAGTAGGTTTAAGGAATATTGTATCACTCATATTTGGTCCAAGGAAATCTCGAAATACACAATTTGTTGGGAGAATCCTGCTTGCCAAGGATGAGCCAATGTTTGTAAAATATTTACAAAATCCATTTGCAATTTCAAGAGGGTCAGTGATCACTGTACCATTTGATTTAAACGACGATGATAAAGATGACTTCTTGCTTTTAGTATTTATAACCTCGTTTATTAATTTCCAAGTTTCCTTCAAGTCACTTTTTGCTCGATCAAATTTGTTATCATAATAAGTTTTCTTAGCATTTCTAATTAGATGATTTAATTTGTTTTTATACCTTTTGTAATGAAGCTCACGTTGTAAAGTTGGATTACCCAAGTATTTCTTATTACATGGCTTTAATCATTTGAAATCAGTATCAATTCAAAATTGTTAAGACAGAGCTTGAAATAACAACCGATCACCGATCAATGATCGGCAAGGAATTGCTTATGATCGGCGGAAAAGCAAGGTTTCGGTTTCTAACCTGAAAAAAAGCAGGGAAAGTCGCGACTGCCGATCACCATGATCGGGAACTTTGGGAACGTTATTTCAAGCCCTGCATGTAAGAATACAAATTTACAATTACATGTATCGAAAGGGCTTTACACAGTTACAGTAGATCAATACTCAATCGGACTTATGACGCTTCACAGCACACCATGCATATTTGCATTTTCAGTGTTAATCCTTAAACTCATTGTTAAAAAGTAATCACCGTGGTGGTTATTGTAATTATTGGTATTGTTTTGCATCCACGTTTTGTCGTTATCGGAAAATGTATGGTTTATAAGTTGTCACTATTTTTTACTTGCATTATTTCAATATAGTTTGTAAATCTCAGAAGCGAAGGGTAGAACTTGCCAATAGGCAATAATCCAATAATATACGTTTCAAAAAAGACAAGAAAGCTTTTAGTTTTGCAGAGTTACATTCTCAAATGTTTAAGGCATGCACTAATAAAATCAAAGTATCATGAAATGATTTGAATAAACCACACCACATATATAATGCAATTTTCTTTGCGGCACTTCCGCAAAAGATTACATCACTGACACGGAAAGTTGACGATTCAACGGACAATAGTCAATACGCTTCCCAACACATTCCATGGATTTTTTACTAATCCTATAGTTTATTGTTAGCAAGTGATTACTGTGGCGGCTATTGTTAACACTCGTATTGATAAAATTTGCAAGCGATTGTTTTTATAATATGTTATGTAAATGTAAACTGCCAGAAGAATACGACAACATGATTTTATGCGATCTCTGTGATGGTTCCACTTTAGATGTGTAGAATATGTCAATATGACACTAGTCTAAGTACCTCAAATGAGTGGTTATGCAGACTGTGCACACCACCAGCTGCTAAGAAGCCTAAAATGTGTATGTAATTTTGTCTCCTTGTAATAAATAAATAAATCACACAATAAATCTTTTCAACTTGCAATCGTTTTGTTTTTAGATCAAAAATTCAAAATTTATATGGGGGGCGAAATTCCTAAAGGGGGGCGATATTCCTAGAAGATTCGCCCCCCAGGGGGGCGATATTCCTAGGAGATTCGCCCCGGGGGGGGGCGAATATCCTAGGAATATCGCCCCCCTTTTGAGAGGGGGGGGGCGAATCTACTGGGGGGGGCGAATCTCCTGTGACATCGGCAATAATTAATGCCTGTATAAATTGCCCAAACTTGTCAGATAGCTGGTTAGAAGCATACATATACGTCATATACGATGAAACCCCAAGTTGATATTTATACTTTTTTAATTTTTCGATCGCCGTAATTGGGGAAACTGTGGCGAATTTCCTGGCGCTATATCAGCCGAATCTCATTAAATCATTAAATCATTCTGCGGTGTGTATAATAAAAAAATTAATGTGCACCTTTTCAAATTCAAATTAACCCTAATATATACAGTTTGTATGAAAAAAGTATATAGCCTTTCAAATTTGAATCAAGCATGACGCCGTATTCTATTGAATTCATCGGACAAGCTATATAATTGTTTCGAACTAGTTAGCGAGCCGTAAAGCAAAAGACTTTCTACTTATGGGACATGTACTACAGTGTGTGTAAAAAAACTGAACCCTTTCAAATTCAAATTAGGTATAACGTATTGTAGTAATTAATTTGACAGCTCTAATTGCTTTGAATTAATGGTTGGGTAAGAACACAAGGTCTTGTACTCACGGGACAAAACTCAAAGAAATAAAAATTAGAAAATTTAAAAGAAATACTGTATTTCTAATTTTTATTTCTTTCATTTTTGTCCCGTGAGTACAAGACCTTGTGTTCTTACCCAACCATTAATTCAAAGCAATTAGTGCTATCTAATTACTACAATACGTTATAGCTAATTTGAATTTAAAATTGAAAGGGTTGTTTTTTTTATACACACTGTATACTTTTTTTTTATACACGCAGAATTGTTAGTAATTTGACAGCCACATAATTTCTCCAATTAATGAATGCGTGAAAACACAAGGTCTTCTGCACATGCGAATTTAGGATAACTTCTATTTGTATGAACAAATAACTTCTATTTGTATGAACTCAAAGAAAATTGTTTAAAATGAGCATTATTCAAGTCTGCATAAGATATAAAATGGGCCAGCTTACAGCAGAGCAACGAATATTTAAAAGTTAAGGCTAATTTGAATTTAAAAGGTTTACAATTTTTGATACACCCTGTGGTACTGGAATGAAAAATATAAAAATAGGCACGCGACGCGTACATGTCTCTGCGAAAAAACTTGATTCACATTTTGTATTTTCTTGAAAGGAATTGAATAATGAAGATGACATGGGACAATTGAAATATTTCACCACTTATTATAATATAATAGCAAAATAAGATTTTAAAGTCAAACATAATACACATCTAATAGGGATGTGCACAGTGCAGAGGGCAGCAGGGGCAACTACCCCCCCCCACCGTCGAGAAAATTTAACTAATTTTATAATGTGATTATGATTGTACCATTACCATTAATTATGCAGTCAGGAATAAAAATTTCATGCAAACAATATTCGAAGTGTCTATACATATGGCAGCAGGCTATTTAGTAAGCTGTCACATGTCAATCCCCATACATATCTAATTTTCAAAACTTTATTGTAATCATATGAAGCACTAAAAGTTCTGTGACTTGTTGTTTACACTTGGCAACGTTATCTATTGGGTAACATGCACAAACTATTCAAGCGGAGGAACATACATTACTGTAGCAATTAGTCAATCATAGTCAAAGACCACTGAATAGTAAAGAATGTTTTGAAGGTCATAAGTGTGATATATCCTGTGCACAGTTAATGATATATGACACTGTTCAGTTTAACATGGCATGCCGGTTTGAGTAGAAGGTATCACAAGTTTAGTTTTGCGAATCATTGCATGTGCCATTGATCTGATCCATCCATATAATATATAATTATTGTAGCTGTTAAGTTATTTTCCATACTAATGAATTTAGATAAGATTGTCTTGCAAGTGGCTGTTATTCTGACAAAATTATCCATCCAATATCCAGTACATTTATTCTTCATTCTTGTATTAAAATCTCTAAGCAAAAACATTTAAGTTAGAAAGCAAAATGACAACGTAATGAGGAGGGAGGGTGGGGATTCTTTTATTAGGATTTGAAAATGTTTGTAAAAATTTTGTTTAATTATAAACTCTAATGTGTATTAAAACCAAAATGTATAAATATTTTAACTAATAACATATAACCTTTGCTCTAACATGTACTACATTTGACGACAGCTTAGTTGGACTGTTGTTTTGAACAAAGTTAATACAGAAATACAGAACCAGGATTTAATTCAATATCTCCTGAGAACATTAGTTTCCTGTGAAATTGTTCATTGCCATTGCCATTGGCAAATAAATTTATTGCCTAGCATGTTTTGACTGTTTAAAATATTAATACACAATGATTGTTTTACTATATAAATGTATATAATAAAATATGAAAATATGTGGTATTTAATAATAATAACAAAAAAGCATTTATTTTAACTGTCTTAACTAAGTAAGTAACAAATTCCACTAAAATATGACTATATCTATAGAGTAACTGTTCAGTATACTATACTATACTATAGCATAATTGTAAATTGTCACATATAAACACATATTAACAAACAAATTTGACTATTTACCAGATGAGAATAAGTTTCCATGTTGATAGATAACTTCGGAATATAAATATCGCAAGTAGAATGATGAAAATAAGACAAAATCAAGATATTTTTGGAGCCAAAATGTGAAAATGGCAAAGAATAAGTAAACACGAATTACACGATCGCGAGGCGAAACAATGCCCGTTCGCAGGTTAGATGCGGGTACGATGTAAACAATTGATGTAAACTAATCGCTGATTGGCTTAAATTGGCTCAATTATATAAGCTCGTCTCTGAATGGCTAGGGATACGGTAACGTACAGTACGGTACGTTTGCGATAACAATATATCTGCTTCGCAGATACAAAAATAGGTACGCGACGCGTACATGTATCTGCGAAAAAACTTGATTCACATTTTCATCACTTATTATAATAAATATAATAGCAAATAAGATTTTAAAGTCAAACATAGTACAAATCTAACAAGGCTGTAGACAGCACAGAGGGCAGCAGGGGCAACTCAACCCCCCCCCCCCCGAAAATTTAACTAATTTTATGTGATTATGATTGTAACTCGGATAATTATGCAGTCAAAAAATAAAAATTTCATGCAAACAATATTCGCAGTGTCTATTTAGTAAACTGTCACTTGTCAATCCATACCCATTTTGAAAACTTTATTGTAATCATATGAAGCAAAAGTTCTGTCACTTGTTGTTCACACTTGCCAACGTTAACTGTTGAGTAACATACGCAAACTATTCAAGGAACATGCATTAATACTGTAGCAAAGAGTCCATCATATATCGAAGACCACTGAATAGTAGAGAATGTTTTAAAGGTCATGAATGAAGTATATAATTAAATTCCAATCCTGTGCACAGTTAATGATATACCACACTGTTCGGTTTACACCCGTTTTCAAAATTATGCGACCTCCCAGAAAAATACTCTTACTTCAAATGTCAGTTTTGTGTCACAAAACAACTAAAAATAGCAAATGTAAACAAACTGTCAAAAGACATTTTAAACCATATTTAATACCAAAACTGAACAAAAATGAGTTAGATAACTTAGATATACAAACTAAAGCACAATGCAAACCATCACAACAGAAATATGTGCCGTGAATAACTTTTAAAGTTTGAAAAATAACAATTTATCCCGGAATCTAGCTGTCAGTATAAAACACACGCTAGACTATAACGGTGATGTTATGATTTTGTTTGTGCTTAAATTTTGCAATAATTCTCACTAAAATATCTTGAAAATCATTGTAAACCTGTTCATATAAAGCATACAAAGCATATACATCGACAAGGAACCGCAAAACTCAAAGTTTAAACTTCGTGACCGAATGACATAAAACTGACATGTCAACTCTAGCATTTTCGTCCTTGGTCGCGTAATTTTGAAAACGGGTGTAACACAACATATCCACACAAAAACAATTTGTGTTGTGGGAGAATATCGGTTTGAGTAGAAGGTATCACAAGTTCAGTCTTGTACATATTGTGTGCCATTGATCTGACCATCCATATAATATATGATTATTGTAGCCATATTATTATTGTATTACAGTATCCATACCATTGATACTTATGAATTTAGGTAAGATTGTCTTGCAAGTGGGTTGTTCTGACAAAATTATCTAGCCAATATCCAGTACATTTATTCATCATTCTTGCATTAATCTCTAGACAAAAACATTTATGTTAGAAAGCAACATAACAATGTAATATTAAAGGAGGGAGGGTGGGGATTCTTTTATTAGCATTTGAAAATGTTTGTAAAAATTTTGTTTAATTATAAACTCTATTAAATGTGTAAAACCAAAATGCATAAGTATTGTAAACTGATAACATCTTTAACCTCCAACACTACATTTGATGACAGCTTAGGGGCTGATTACATGGAGCATTTTCAACCCCGGGGTTGAACTCAGCCCTGTTTACCGGGTTGAAATTTCAGCCCTGTCTGTAATACAAAACTCTATCAAAATCAAACGTGCTATTACATGATAAAAGTTTCAACCCAGGGCTGAGTTCCGAGGTTGAAATTTCAACCCTGCTTCAGCTAGCAGGGTTGAAATTTCAACCCCGGGGTTTAACTCAGCCCTGGATTGAAAATTTTGTCATGTAATCGTTTCAACCCAGGGCTGAAATTATCACGAGTTATTTGAGCATACGTGGTAGTGACTATTTATTACAAGAAAACAAAATAAAGGCTTTTTTACTTCCGGGAATCGATGCTGAGAACGCATAGTATAGCATTTCAACCCCGGGATTGAAATCGTCCATGTAATCGCAAAAAATTTCAACCCGGTTAACAGGGCTGAGTTCAACCCCGTGGTTGAAAATGCTCCATGTAATCGGCCCCTTAGTTGGACTGTTGTTTTGAACAGAGTTTATACAGAAATACACGACCAGGATTTAATTCAATATCTCCCGAGACGATTAGTTTCCTTTGGTATTGTTCATTGGCAATATTGCCTGCTATGTTTTGACTGTTTAAAATATTAGAGAAGTCACAGAAGGATTGTTTTACTGTATAAATCTTTTTGTGAACTATGTTGACAAACGGCTTAAAATATCCTGGAAATATCCAATATTTTATACAGTGTAACATATTAATAAAAAAATTCCAGAGTGCATTTCATGTACACAGTCTCTATGCCGAAGATACGGCAATATTAACTATAGATAGTATAGTAATTTGCCGAACTCGTGTACTAAATATGTGGGATATATATTTGCACAAATTTGGTATTTAAATCTATAATATATGGTATTTGACTACTTACCAGATGAGGATAAGATTCCATGTTGATAAATAACTTCGGAATAATATCGCAAGTAGAGAAAACAAGACAGCCAATTCAAGATAAATTGATAAAAATATCAAGATATTTTTGAAAGAATAACACGATTTATACACGAGGCCTGACAAGGCTAAAGTATGCCCATTCGCAGGTTAGATGCGGGCACGATGTAAACAATTGATGTAAACTAATCGCTGATTGGTTTAAATTGGCTCAATTATATAAGCTCGTCACTGATTGGCTAGGGATACAGCAACATTACGTTTGCGATAACAATATATCTGCTTCGCAGATACAAAAAGGGTACGGAACCTTGATCATTTTCTCACTAGGCCATACCACAATGACGTGCACTTTACTGTTTTTTCGCTAAGGGAAAGTTTATTGATACATTACATACCATCCCGTAAACAGGTACTATAAAACTCGGACCTTCCCGCGCCTTTTTCCATTTGGAATAAGCATGTCTTACAGGCATATTGTAGAAAAGGAATGGCCTCCAGTGGATACTGTGCAAGATCAGTGCCATTTAATGGATGCAATATCTGCAAGGGTCATGGCTCTCAGAATCGAAAAGCTCTGCAAGCATCTGAGACTGTCCGAAAAGGAGGGATGGTCATTATACGGCCTACAGATTATATAAAACAAGTCATAGAACAGGGAATACTCTGGGACTACCCGTTCGAGATCCTTCTCGTTATGGGTCGCCGGTTAATTCCGCCGGCGCTTGTTAATAATCCTACACTGCATTCCATTATATTAACACAAATTCTACTGGAAATATTAACGGGTATAACCGTACCCCAGATTTTCCAGGGAAATGATACTACCTATCAGATGGATGCTAGGGAAACAATGATGCTGGGTTTAACCAGGAAAAATGAAGAACAGGTCCTGGTGCTGGAAAAGGAAACAGGCGTGAATCTGGATCATTATCATAAACTAAACATTCGCAATTAATAACGAAACCTTACAGTTCTGTGAAAATATTTATTTCAGTTGTAATAAGCCAATTAAGGTGTTGTACTAATAGAATAATTAATACCCATAAGGTAATGTTTTGTAATCATCTATAATTAAGCGTTTATCATAAACTATCTTATAATCCTTTTTCATGCGCTTTGTTTCAATGTTTTTGTCCTTTGCGTTCCGGGTTATCTTTAATGGAATGTCCACTGTAACCTTTCCTGTAACATTACACTTGGCGTGAAGGTACACTAACAAGCGAATAACATCAAAGTTTACCTTTTGTTGTGCCGAGCAATTCAAGGGCTGAGCTCGCCGGGCTTGCTTACGAATATCACCGAATCCATATACAGTACCCGCTCTTGAAGCAGATCGAGCACTCCGCATAGCTTAAGACAGGCATACGCGGTCGTAAAGGCGGCGATCACCACACGTTGGTCTTCGCATTGGGTTCTACGAAATTTTCATTGTACTCGTAATGGAGTTCAACCATTTTGTCGCTTACGAACCTTGCATTTAAAACATTAATTTCGTCTGACGTTAAGTAATCGAAATACGTCCGGGGATCTTTGACCAATTCCACCTTGGTCATATTGGATCTTTGCGCAAATTTACCAAAGGGGAAAGTAGAATGTAAGTACCTATTAATTAGGGTTCAGTCTATCGCATGGCCCTTAGTAAACGAACTAATAAATACATACCCCAAAACGAGTTCAGCGTCAATTTGGACAGCACACGCATACCAGGGTTGTGCTCGATCTTTTCTCTGTCCAGTTGTATTCCCTCAACCGCAAAATATTCATTCGCATACTGCTGTTTTTGTTCCTCGGTAACACAGTTCTTAGGGTACCCGCTGGATTCCTGTTTAATTTTCAGGAAGGTATTCACATAGCCTTTGAACAGCTTATTGGAGGTTTCGGGAAAATGCCACACTTCGTGCATTCACAAAATGGTGTAACCTTTTTCTAGGGCTTTCTCCAATTCAATGCTACACCACGTTCCCTGAATGGCTCCTTTCACGCTAGGAATGGGTACAGGGGCTCTGATTGCACACATCTGCACATGATTTGCACAACTGGAACATTAACTTGCCTTGGGTACGGTAGGGAAGAACGGGGTGAAAAAGTCCTCGAGGTGGAAGTACCATGCACTTAATCAATCCGAAATAAGTGGAATATTGCCGAAATTCTCAGTGATAACACGAGGGTGACCAATAACCGTCCGGGTCATCTTGTTACACCACGCATAAAGGCTCGTAAAGTGCATTAGTGCATTAGTTTGTCGTTTTAAACCCTAGGGTATCCTATCCCTTTTTTCCCGAACATACCTAATCTCCTTGTTGTCCTTACACTTGTGAAAAAGTTTTGTTGCGTTGGTTCGCCCACCATAAAATGCATGACGTGGCTCCAAAGGATCCGCAAGGTTGTAGTTGTCAAAGTACCGTTCCATATCCTCATCGCGTCTCAGCTCTCGATTGATTTTGTATTCCCACATTTCAACCACATTAAAGCCATGTCCTCTAAGGTATTCGGTCTTTTGCACAGTAGCTTGATAGAGATTGTGCATGGTTTTTTCGTTCACCTTATTAACGGTATCCCTGGCATATAACAGTTTAAACATCCTGTAAAAAAGTACAACTGATTAACTGGGGAGTTTTCACAAGGAAAAGGGTCCATAGGTACCTGTAAAAACGGTTAGTTCTCTCTTACAGGGAAAAAAAACATTCAGGAAACTTACTGTGCCAAAAACATCCATGCAATTCAGACGCTGTACGTGTCTCCTCGTCGTAACCATCCAAGGAATAATGCCCAACAGTTTTCTCTCCACCATTGCGTTTGTGCTGAATGTATTTGTCGTTCTTCTCAGCAGTATAAGACAGCCATTTTAAGGCTATGTTAGATTGTTTAGTTCCTGGGTTCTCTTGACGACACTCGAAGTAAAAAAACAACAGCTTGCTATAGTCACTTTCAGGTGTTTCGTCATTGGCTTTGTCATCAAGCAAATCCTCACGGGTGGGCTTTTCTTTCACAGGTTGCATGTAACATCGGTGATGCTTAGGATCGACGTATTCCTTGCACACTTTACATTTACTTTGTCCGCAGTGATGCAAATCTGCCCTCATTTTCCCCCGTTTGACAATACTATTACAGTGTAGACATTTCCCCAAAGAAGCACAAACCGAACCCTCCTGCCCTATGTTTTGTTGTTACCAGAGAAGTACCAGGCGGGAAACGAATTCGAATAATAAATATTAAAGCCCAGCAAAGTGCTTTTAAAAGAGCCATAAACCATTAATTTAAAAATTTTTTATCATAGATTTAGGAACGTGTTTCGTCTTAACTCAAGACATCTTCAGACTATATTAAATTACAAGCTGTAAGAGTAATTAAGCATAAAGTAAAGCTATCATAGCAATATTAAATTACAAGCGAATACGAGGTACACAAAACATAAGGATAAGAAAGGATAATGAAGGGAAGTGATGGACAAAAATGAGAACATACAAATTAGATGACAACACAAACAGACAAAACATAAAAAAGAGATCAGAATATGTGAAGAGGAATTGAACTGCCTTGAACGTTGAGAGAGGGTTTCATTTTAGAGATAAAAAAGCTTTCATGAATAAGGAGTTCTTGTTTATCTGAACAAGAGGAGAGGATTTCGAAGTCGTCAATAGAAGCAGCGTGGCCTGTGGCTGGAAAATGCTGGACTGGGGAGGATTTTTACATTGTTTGCCAGTGATAGGGGTAATACCCAGGTGTTCCGAAACTCGGGTG